AATTTTATATTTTAGAAAAAAATTTTTCTGAATTATATTATTATATTTGTCTTAATAAATAACATCCAAATTCTGTCACGACACATAATATTATAAATAAAAAAAATTGGAAGATTTTTTTGTTTAAATATTTCTTTACAATTTGCAGGATTAAAATGACTAAGAGAATTATTCTTCTTTGGGTTTATCATCGCAAACTGAAATCAGAAATATTTAAATTATACAAATAAATTTAATCGATTTTAAATGAAGTGTGTCATTATAATAAACGACCCGAACGGAAGGATTATCTTTAATTGTTTTCGACAGAATCCTATAAGTCATCACAAGGTATAATAAACGATGTAAACGTACATATATAAATCGACTTACGATTTGTCGGATACAATTATGGCAATCCTTATGCTTAAGTCCTGATTGTTCATTTATATTTATTTATATATGATCAATAAATATCGATATTAATTACCATCGTGCACTTTCCACGAGCGACAAACATCATTTTGTTTAATATGAAGGTACAGATCTTCGATGTGAGACTTAGTTTTCTCCAATAAAGTTTTACTCGATTCAATACGCTTCGCTACAGAAGCCAATTGCATCTAAATAAATATAATAATAATTAATTCCAAATCAATTAAATAATTTTAAATTAAATTAATTAACCAATGTGTCCATACTATTTTGTGTTTCAAGATTTTAAATCCATTTTGCACTTACATCGATTTCCGTAGGTTTCGTCGATAACTGTTTATTATTCGCGAACTCGTCAGAGATATTCGCCAAAAATGAAAACGGTTGTTGCGGATCTTCCATAATTCTACGTAGAGAGGCTTGCAATTCCTCAAATGACATTTCATCAACATTGTATAGAGAAACATTCTTCTTCAACTTGGAATCACGTTCCGTGATTTCTCTTCGAACTGTAGAGTCTTGATTTAATTTACTGACAATGTTTCGTTTCGTACTTTCATGAACTGATAATTTATCAATCATAGAGGGCAATACCTCAATGGGCTCGATTTTTTTATCAAAGATTCGACGTTCTGCAGATCGTACGGGCGGCAGAATCGACGATCCAGATTTGGCTCGAAAAATAACAATGAAATATTTTTCATATTAATCATTTATTTTCTAAATTGAGAATTCTAATTAATACAAATGTATATATTAGTCTTAGCTTACCTTTAGAATGCTTCATGTTATCAAAAGATTCCACTATATATATTTTTAAAAATTATGCAGCAGTTATGAGATAGATTTCTTCGTATGAGAAATGAAGACCGAAGATATTTTAGCGTTTCTCTCCGATACTTATTAAATTCGATAAGCAAGCCTTATCAGATTTCGATTTTGAACAAACGATTAGTTGCAGTAGCTATATGTATATTTCTTATTTTTGATGTTTGATCAATATCATTTGCATGCAGAATAAGAGTGTTCTGCCGATAAGTGTTCCGTCGATCTAAAACTTTACTTTCCTCGTTAAATTTTTTTACAAACGTAATATATAATAAGAATAGATTGCGTATTTCTATAAAATTGTTATCACTTTAGAAATATTTTTTTATGTCTATGGTTTTTTATAATAAAATGTCAATGCTATTTTTGTTTTTGTATTATATTTCTCATTTAATTATTTCTCTTCATCGGAATTGGTAAATATTTTAAAATATAATACAAGAAATGAATGCAAAAACAAATTTACAAAATGATCTCTTCATTTTATTATAGGTAAGCTAGTACATACAATCGAAATAAGAAACGGATGAGTTTATGAAGAACTTGTAACAAATCTGTTAGGCGTCGTTAGACACATTCATGGCTTTTAAGTCATCACTCGCATACAAAGCTGATGTCACTTATACACTAAAGTAATATATAAATTATTTACCAACAATATATCATTGCGTAATAATAGAACTACCTTATGAATAAAACTATCACAGTTCCTCCGTTTTTTTCTTTCGATATCTAAAAATCAGTTCCTTTAAAAAGCGAATTGTAATTAATAGACTTATATCTGCATTTAAAAAGAAAATAGATGAATGATCTCGACATTATGATCAACAGAAATTTCAATAATGGAAATTTTTGACACGATTGTAAAATATAAATTTACAATTTTCACATGTAATCCATTCTTTTGCATTCCATATTCATTACAAAGAAACTGCAAAACTAGCTTTTTTATGTGTGTGTATATAGTCCTTATACACACATACACACATTATATATGTATATATATATATATATGTATATATTACTATATGTATAGGTAAGTATATCACAGCTTAAAAGTAAATAAGTCTCGCATCTTCGGGATTCTGCTCCGCCGGACAGTACGGGCATTTCAACCTGGAAATAAATTGATTTCTTTTAAAAAGTGACTTTAAATCAGCACTTAGAAAACATCAACGTACTCCAGCCTTGCCGCATATATAACACCTACTTATTTGCATTGGCAAGCTTGTTCAACGCGTCTCGAGAAATGACGTGACCGCAAACCAGTTTCATCGGCGGATTGTTCTCTGTACTTTGTTGCCTAAGTATAGGACAGGCGAAAACCGAATGGTAACGGCTCTGTTTTCCCAGGTCTATTTCGATCTGCACGGAAAGAGAACGGTGTTTTGAATTTTTAATATTTATACACATATATTTAATTATATATACGACTTCGTGCCCTTGTACTTACAGGCAATTCATCTTTACCATTCCAGATACCGGTAACTTGTCTCTGTTGCATGACTTGCTTGATGTTCAATAGTGCAGGTAGCGCAGTGCATCCTGCATTAATACTGCAAATGAACAACAAATTATTGTTTTGTTAAAACAATAATGTCTTTTTAATTATGAGCATATAAATCATATGTACCAAACAGATAATGGACTATCCACACTTAAGCCCAATAATGTACACGCTTCTTTAGTGAAAACATCGTGTATCTCGAGCCATAAAGTTGGATCTAATAAATGACTATAAGGAGATGACTGGATCCCATGCGGTAAATAAAGTAATGTTCCCATTAAAGATTGCACTTCTTTCTCGTAACGTACGACGAATTGCGTGAGATTTTGGCGGGCGTATAGTATCGCTTCTCTCTGCTTACTAGGACCTTGTTGAACTAATCTTATAAAATGTAATCTGTGTAATTTAAACTCGAGAGAAGAATTCTGAAAGAAAATGAAAAAATTACGATATATGTTATACACCAATAATATAAAAAAAGACTATATACATTCGCGAATCAGATATTACCTGTGCTAAAAGTGCTTCTCTGTGTTTTTTAGCCCATTCTAATGCTGGTTCGAGATTTCTCTGTTTTAGACAATCCAATATATAATTCAATTCTGTGAATGGTTCCTTTCTACCTTCATCGGTTTTAATACCAGCTTCCTGCAAACGTTACCAGTTATATTATTATATACAATTACATGAATACAAGAAGCATACAAAGTAGTTTGACAAACATTGCAAAATTGAAAATAAACAAAACATTAATATATCAATTATACATCTATATTACATATATTAATTTAAATAATATTCAGATATATGCAATAATTTTGAATTAAGTAAAATAAATTAAACACAGATTTAATTAAAAGATACATACCACTGCTAATTCATCGGCAATATCTAGCATTCCTTGACGATAAAAGTGTTGACAGATTATTTGATTCAGAAGATGAGATTTCTCAGGTCCAGAAAATACATCTTCCCTGCTGGTACTAGCGAAATCAGCAATAAAATTTCTGTCTATTGCCTTACCTACCTTGGATACTGTACTGTGCAGATCGCGATGGTCTGTTGCTAATCTTTGTACAGTATCACGTACTTTTGTCATTGCTTGTTTTAACATTTGAACTTGAGCAGCTGTTAGTTCCTGATTAGGTGGTGCTAATAAAAGTGTATTAAAATCAAAATTGATTATATTTATTTTAAACAGATTAAAAGAATAAATATAAAATATTATATATTATATATAAATATTATATATAAAATATT